CCAGTTGTCAGCTTTGAGTACATCATCAATGCCACCAGATCTAACCTCGTGTTTCGAGGTGCGCAGCTGCCTCAAAACCTGACACTACTTCATGCGAAGCAGTCCTCCAACATGAGGAACATGAGTTGCGGGGCTGTAGCACTCAAGTGCATTGGGCTACAGTACTACTAGGTTCTGCTTGAGGGCTGGGTTCGGGGTGCAGGGCATTCGCGCCGAATCAGAGCGAAGACTGCCGGGGTGCATTTTCTCTCTTGTGAACCGTCTTCTTCTTCCGCTCGTCGAACCTTGGTTCGTTCATGTCAGGTACAAGTCTTACAAGTCACCACATATTCTGATTTCAGTGAATGTCGCTGCAGCCAATTTCACAGCACTTGATTGCGGTGATCTCTCGTGGCCAGGCACGGATATGCTTCTCTGACAGTCTTCACCTTTTCCTTGGACACTCGGAGCTGCTGACATTCGTGAGGCCTAGCCGACTTCGCGTGGTTCCACCCTGTGCCCTATCCCGCCTATGCCCACTGGTGCAAGGAAGAGTCGAACTGCGAATCAGTACAATTCTTGTTGTGCCACTCAATGTCCTTTGCTTCTGCCGCCTTCTTCTTTCCAGATTTCCTGGGAAACACACCACGCGCATGCAACCTGAAGGAAATCCACAAGGGAGGTCGGACCTGCCGTGCTCCGAAGTTCTCATGGTCCTCTGTGGCCGACAGTATCTTGCCGAGTCTAAGCCATTAATGGAACTACACAGCCAATCAAGAAGTGAAAGCTGCGATGCTTTATGTACAGTACGGCTGCTACGTCGTAGCGCCAGCGCGTCCGTGACTCAGATGTGAGCCTTACAGAAAAAGGGCCATTGCACAGCCAAAGCGAGGTACACTGAGGTGCACCTCATCGAGATCGATGACAGCCAGTCTGGCAGCCCTCACTTATCAGCTCGTCAGAACCACAGCAGGACCAAGTGCAAGGCACATGCCCGACGATGCACGCGCGAAGATTCAAAGAGCCTGGGCGTGTACCCAGTCCTTCTGCCCAGTGGCCTTGTGAGCCCCATCCTTTGAAAGTCAAGCCTTTGGCCCAGTGCCCTCCTCCCCGATACATCCTGGCACTTCGTCGAATGGCGGAGGTGCCACCAATGCTTCGCCATGCCGCAAGTGCATACGATTGCAGCTGCTGAATCTCGGCCCGGCTCCAGGCATCTGTGTTGAGCGGCAGGAACTCACCAGGATGCACAGCACACTCGTTCGGGGCTCTCTCCTCACGGAGACTCTCTCCACAGGCCGTGCATCGAGAAGTACGGCCGGCTTGGCCACTCCCCAGGCGAGTACGGCCCTCCCAGTGGAGTTGCTTCTGCCATCGTCTGGCAAAGAGCATCTTCCAGTCAATACAAGCCAACGGAGTTTCTGGCGTTGGTTTCTGAAGATCGGGAGACAGCAAGAAGGAGCACTTGACTGGATTATCCACAACAGATTGGCACATGGCAGGGAAGTGCAAACTGCAGAGCACCTGCCACAAATTGTTCTCCTTGGTCAAGCTGTCCCAAACACATCTGGCAGACATTTCACAACTGCACAAATCTGCAAAGCCCAGGTATGACGCCATTCTTGACCATAACTCTCTGGGAAAAGGCAGGGCACCAGAGAAGCTGTCCAAGTCGAAAGCCATCACCGCTCGTGATGGCATGAAGCCAAGCCCTGGCGAATCTGTCTTGCTTGGATTGCCTGGGGCTTTCTTGGATGTGCGATGTTCTCGATGCGGAACGACATCACGCGCCCGGCCCTTGTGGTGAGGCATTGCTTCGCCAGGTGCGCAAGGTAGGTGCAGCTAGAGATGCCTGCAGTATGAACACGCCATAACACGCCTTAACCCTGACAGCAGCCTTGCTGCGCTGTATCGTGCTGTAGTCCTAGATGCTTTGAGGCCTGGTTGGCTTCTTCCTGCGTGACACATGCATTTCACATCTTCTACCGTGGAAACCGAGTTTCAGAAACATTGCGTGCGAGCACAAGAGCCATCAGGTTTGCAACCAGGCTGGGAAGGTCAGAGGGGCCGCATACAGATCAGCAGAAAAGGCCAGTACTATTCCCGTACTGCCCTGGGCCATAGCATGGACTCGGCCAAGGCTCCTCGATGCTCTAGCCTTGGCCTCAACCAGGCGCGCAACTTGACAAGCGAGACTGTGAGACTGCAACTCTCCGACTACCAACAAAAAGCTGTGACATCAAAGCTCCCACATGCTCTCCAACCTTCGGCCCCTTCGAGAAAACATCCTGGAAGCACGAGCTGCAAAGAGGGGCACTTTGACAATTGTGACACACAATTGTGACACACAATTGTGACACACAATTGTGACACTCCAGTGACACTCCAGCGGCCTCCTCCTTTTCCTCCTTGTACCTCGACGGAGACGGCGGCGCAATCGGCCCGCCGCCGGCAGAGGCGCCGCAGCCCATGCTTTCAATATCTCTCTCAATGATCACTTTCCATCTCTTTCCTTGTTGCAGTTTGTCAGTAGATTTTCATGCGGTACGATCAGGCGTCGGCTTGCTCTTTTCGTGTAGCATGGTAGCATGCTAGAGACATCTACGATCATGGTTGGCAACGTCTAATGTCATGTAATGTGCGCCTGCTAGTGCGGCTGGGGGCCGGCAAGACGTCAAGTCCAAAAGCCCCATGATTGCATGCAGTGACGTCCAGGCACCACCTACAGTTCGCACCTTCTGGATGATGTGCTTGACCGTCTGCAAACCCACCTTGCCGTTGAGCTGAGAAAGCGCCTTCTGCTAAAGCATAACATTGACTGAACACTGCAAGAAAGCGGCTTTTGAATTTACGACTACCTGCCCCTCGTCAACCTCGCAGTTCCAAATCTCGTTCAGTGCCATTTCACAGTGCCCACCTGCAAGCTGGAGCTGGACGACCTGGCAGAGCCACAAGGGTCCCGGAACCAGGACGCTCAGCGCGAAGCTCCGCGTCACGGCATACGTAGGCTCCCAGCGATGTTGCAGACACCTTCATTGCCATGGTATTGCCAGTTTGCCCAAGCTAGCTTGTCATCCCACTTCACTATTTCTCTGCTTCCTGGGACTTGCTGCTGGTATGGCAGTCGGGCTGAGGCAAAGCACCTGAGCCAAGGAGGCATCCAGCCCGTTGACTTTGGTTGAGATCTCCTGTTCCACCTGCCGGACACCGGAGCACAGCATGAGGGCACGGAGCTATCCGTCATCCATGGTCTACATCGTGACAAGTGGTAGGCCCCCTATGTCTGTGACCGTCGAGCCTTAGCCTCGCGCTCCCTCAGCTCTTGCTGCTGCTGGGCCAGGGAGGCTTGCTGGGCCTATGGGCCAGTGCCAGAACGGAGGGCTTCTATCCAACCGATGATGCTACGAGAGAGGCTTGCCGGTGTTAGGAGGGATCTTGATGGCACGTCTGTTCAGCTGAAGTCAGCTTTTTTCCCTGGATGCGAAAGTCGCATTCTGCACTTGGGATCCACACGGCAATCTGCTCGAGCGCCTGCAACATCGCGCAAAGCCGGCAACAAGGCCCTTGGCATCGCATGGCACCACATTCCCAGTGCCTGCTCCTGGGAGAGCAAGGCAGACTGCTCGGCGCTAAGGAGAGTCTCGACACGTTCCTCGCATCGCAGAAGACCCACATCAACTTGTCAACAACGATCATCACAAATAGTGCAGAGGCCGCCTGGCGGCCTTGCATGGAGCCATCGGAAACCTAAGCAGGCAGACACCTGTAAAACTGCCTTGTGCTCTCACGAGGGCGCCTGCCTCAAGCAAGGAAGCACCGACCTTGCCCGAGCTGTCATCGACCTGAGACCACAGTAGCAGCAGAGTCATGCAACGGCCCGCGAATAGTACATGGTCTGGCAGAAATCTGGCTTTGCAGGTTCTTGGATTCTAGATGCCAAAGCGGGATGCAGAAGACCATTCTGATTATCCGCTCCATTTAAACGCTGCTTCATCGGGTGCGTTCGGAGGTAAGTGCAGGCACCTCAGATGTCAAGTCCTTACTCAGAGGGCCCTATGGGAAGAGCGACTTTTGCACAAAAGTTTTGGGAGTTCTGGATCTCCTTTGATATCAAAGCTATCACCCTTGGAGCCCCACCTGCGCAAGGACGCTGGCATCGGGGCTCGGCCTGTGTCAAGTCTCAGGGGCGAGCGCACTTACAAGAACTCCGGTTCCACGACTTGACATACTATACGAAGATATACGAAGTTCCACCTACTCTTGCTTTCACGTTGTCTTCGCCCCACCCTCAGAGAAGTGGGAATTAAAGAATGATGATCCTCGAGTCTCCCAAGTCTCCCCGTGAGTTCCCCCTTAGGAGGCTCCGGGAGCTGCCCATGATATCTCCTCGTATCTCCTCTTTTGTGGCCTCAGACTTGAAGGGCCCCTAAGCCCCTAAGACAAGGCACCCTGAAGATGCTGCAGTCGGGTGGGTGACCAGCGGCATGCGCAGTGGGCGCTTGCAATGTCTGCTGAAATCTGCTGACAACTACGAGCCACGAGCACTTCACAGAACTTTGACAGCACTCCACTCCCCATCTCAAGCCTCAACTCAAAGCCCCTTTCAAGCCCCGGAGCCTCTGCTCCACGGAGAGGCCACATGCTGAGGCCACAAGGCATAAAGCGCACAGGGCCTGCATGGAAAGAAGTGACAAAGGGCCCTTTTACTTGTTCACTAGCAGGCAGCATGACGACGGACTGGCGTGATCATGTGGGGCTCCGTGGGGGGGGGGGCCTGCTTCATTGCACTGAGGCAGATCGAGATCCACACTAAGCCGAAGCACGGCTGCGGTCAAAGTGGTCAGATTCTCGGAAGTCGGAAGCAGTCCAAGTGGTAAGAGCTGTGCTCGGTGTGCCAAAAGCTGGGCCCCAGATAGGAAAACCACGCTACCAAACAGCGCTACGACACGAACCCACGGAAAAAAGGCCTCATCCATGGCATCTCACACCCGGAAACACGGGTCAATCGTGGCGGTAGTCACCACACGAATCTTTTCGTCCTTGCTCTGGTTTGCGCGTTCGCCCTGAGCAAGGGGCATCATTGTCATCAGTAGCAGAGCTTTCAAGTGTTTCAAGCTTGCTGACGCCTCGTAGTTGCGGCTCGACACCTTGTCCCTGGTCAAGGCTCACCAAGCAGTTCCTCTGAGACGTTCTGCAAGGTCATGGGCCTTGTTTCTCCCTACCGCCCTACCGTAAAACAGGCCAGGTCGGCTCGTAGCCTAACGTAGGCCTGCCCTGGCAGGCCAACAACAAAATGCGAGCTGTCCACATCGCGTCCCGCCGTACCTCTTGCCTCCCTTCCCATCGCACCTTAATTTTGCTTTTTCCTCTGCCCTTACCGTTGTCGAAAGGGTATGCATTGTACCTGCTCGGCCTGGGATGCCACAGCGGCCACACAGGAACACAACTTTGAAGCTCAAATTCATTGACTGAAAGAAGATCCCGGCTGAAACATGCGGAGGATCAGAAACAGCAGCTTCACATTGGTGGATTGTGTTTCCTAGACGATGACTGCATCTGGCGGCCAAGTTCTTGGGCTAAGACTCTACATAGTCTACACATGGCACGGTGCTGCAGCCACATGCTTTGCATTGCACTACTGTGGCACTACCCCACAAGCATGCGTATTCTTGCGGCATTATTGAGCACCATGGCTGCAAAAATGCCAGTCTTGCGAATCCAGAACAAGAGGCACTGCATCGGCCCTCAGGTCATATGCCTTCGCTATCATGAGGCCTCTGCAACATGGTCTGCTTTAGGGAATTCCAGGTTGAGCACCTTTGCCGCACTAAAGCGAGCGCCGTCATTAACTTCGCCCAAGGCGTGGCATTTCCACAGGCTCAGGGTCGGCAGAAGCCTCTCGGCAGTCAAGTGAGAATGAGCCCTCGCTTTCTTCGAAGTCTTAAGAGCCGTGAACGCTTACTCCGCCACCGCCCCTCCCGACAGCTGAACCTGAGAACCATTGAGAACCCGCCTTCTGCACCTTGTCAGTAGCTGATGGCCCCGAAGACTGCAGGCATTGTCAAGTCTATGAAGAGGCGCAACCGAAGAAGAGCTCCCTTCACAAGCCTTCTGGTTGTATAGCCACACGCCGATCAAGCAGGTGCCAACGCCAACGGCCTGCTCCACTGTCAGGCTGTTCCTGCACCGCAAAGGTCTGTCTGAAAACTGATTAGTCAAGGCAATGTTGCGTTCATCCTATGGCCATGCACTGCTTCCAGATGTTTAGCTGCTGTGACAGCAGCTGTCCTGAAAATGGCCACAGAAACGGCAATCGAAAGACAGCTCTTGACGTTGCCAAGAACTTGAAGGGTGACCTTGTAGAATGTTGTAGAAAGGAAAAGCTTGAAGTCATTCACTGTGTCGCTGCTTCGATCTGCTTCGTATCAGTACACCAAGCTTTTCACCGGGCTTGTGTAGGAAGTTACCAGGAAGTTCGCAATGTTGAGAAGGCAGGCATTCAATCCTGACACGTACATGTAACGAGGTCCTCTCGCATTCCCTCTTTGCATGGTTCCAGCTGTCCTGAAAGCATGAGGAGTAACGCAACTTGGCCGGCACCCGTGGTGTCTGCCACGCCCGACTCGAACCTAACCAGAGCCAGATGGGAAAGACATTCCTCTCGATGCGGGGGCTGGCTACACTGTTCGAGGCCCCTGCAGGTCGAATGGTGCCAGCAACAAGAGAAACAAGGGCGCGCTGCCCTGCGACATGTCGTTGCTGTCCCCATTCCGCATCGCACAGCTACGCGCCTCCATAAGAAACATCATCAATGTCAGCCACATCGCCGCCCAGGGGGCCATGTAGTACCTCGGATACAGTCTGTTGGCCTCCACCATCCTCCACCATAGCCACAGCCGAGCAGAGCACAAGACAACTTCGGTTTTTCCAGGCTCGCGTTGCAAGCTACGGGTCTGGCGGCATGAGCAGCCAAGCCATTGAAAAGATGGGTGGATGCCCGACGCAGCATGAAACACAGTTGACACAGACCTGTCTTGGTCTTCTGGAAGCGGCATGTTTCCAAAACACGCCAAATCTTGCATACCGTGGCCCATGCAGGCAGCCAATCAGGCTGCGAAAATGGAGGGCAAACTGCCGAAGATATCCTTATCGAACCCAAGGGCTGGTCAGGCCCAGGGGTGAGAGCCTTAGATTCTCAGATGCCTTCTTCCCAACAAACTCCGAGTAAGACCGCTGCGCTTCACCAAACGACGTCGCATGCAGGGAAATGTGCAGACACACCCACCAACGCCGTGCCATTTCGAGCCAAGAGTCAGTTGAGCAGCTGTCCTGACATGTTACATTTGCGTGGAGAATCCGCTGAGTTAATTCGCCAACCACAGGGGACGAACGTGCACGCATGCACACGCCAGATGCACCATGCAATGACCCAAACAGGCCCTGACCCCAATTTGCAACTATGGCAGCCTGTCCTATTGACAGACCGCGCCACTTGAACTTGCAACTCCTTGGCAAGATCACACACTGGCAGTAGCATCAATGGATATCAGTGGCATCGGCATACGTTTCATCACGCTTTGCCACATGAAGCCAAGATTCATCGTCGCGCACAGGGATGACGCTGTGCTCTCGAACACTCCTTGCAGCATATGCGTCCCTTCGGACACACATCCGCGCCCCGCGCCCTCTCTAAAGGTCTAAGGCGTGTGGAGTGGACTCTTGGAACACACTAAGGGCACTCAGCTTCGCCTGCTATTCGGCAGATCTTGTGTAGCTTTCTGAGGGCAGCACTGTCCAAGAATACCCCTTCGAGCCAGTGAGTTGGCTGCCTGTGGTCGCAGGTCAATTTGACACACTTCGAACGTGGAAGGGAGCCGTGGTCGCGAATCCCACCATGGACTGTGCCTCGAAGCCGGTGACAAGCGCACGCTCCTGGCACAAACCTGCAAGAAAGGGACTGTCCAGCACATGCACTGTGACCTACTTTGTGCTGTGTGCATGTGCCCACCAAGCCTTTGGCACCATGCTCACGATCACCCAGGCGAACCCAGTCACCTGGACAGAGCTTTCCTCGATTGAGACTGCGTGCTTACGAAGCCTTAATCATGCGCCTGCACACACCAGATTCCTCACGGGGGTCTCGGTGGTGGGACGTGACGTGAAGGATCCTGGCGAGAACCAGCTGACCCCTGCGGGGAAGCGCATTGCGTGGCTGTCGACGACCTTGGCGCTTCGGAACTCTGGCACCGCACTGGGCAGCAACTCGTCTGTGAGCAGCTTGATGATCTCTTCATCAGATAGCGGCAGAAGGGCACCAGCATTGTAAAAGTCACAGGCCACCACAGAACCTTGGGGTTCGTCATCTCCCCAAAGTCCCTGCTGGTCTGCTTGCAGTTGGTCCAGCATGAAGAAGGTGCCCCCTGCACCTCGCAGAACAAGGGTTGGGATATGCCCATGATCGGCAGTGCAGGATCTACTTTCTTCCAAATCCCTTGAAGGCCCTCAACATCACGACCCCCCCAAGCATGCCCCCAAGCAGGACAAAAAAAGGCCACCCCCAGCGTGGCCTCGCAGAGCTGCAAACTTGGCAAAAACATTCGCCGGGGCCTGTGTAGAGATTTTCCGGTCGAACCATATGCGCACAGACATGACATCAATCCCCTGCAGGGATCCTGCAGCCGTCAGGTTAGGACAAGCTTTCGCCACTTCAGGGCTGCCACGCAGCACAGCCCTGAGACCTCCGGCGCCGAGCGCAAGGACGACTGCATCGAGATCATCCATAGACCCACTTCCACCGGCACGGGATCGGTATCGGAGGCCCTTGATTTCGCCGTTAGTCAACTCGAGCCCCTCTACGAAGCAGCCACCCTGCACTGTAAGGCCATGCTGCTCGACCAGGTGGTTTATGACAGGGCACATGAGAGTCTCACTGACAGTCCCTTTCTTTAGCCATCGAACATCGAAGGATGTCTGGTGGGCCAAAGCATAAAAGTAGAGCAGCTCCATGGTGACAGCTGCAGACAGCTCCTCAGGAGGCTTAAAGAGGCCGACGAGCAGCGTCGGCTTCAGGAAGTCATCAACCAGCCTGCGACTCAGACCTGCCCGAAGGAAAAGCTCATGCGCGGTCATCCGGTCGTATGCTTCAAAAGTCTTGGCGTCCCGATTGAAGTCCACCATCGCCAGCAGCAAGCCACCTTGAATCCCGAGTGCTGGCCAGGCAAAGGCTGGAAACTTTAACTTCTTCAGCTGGATGGCTTTACAGGGGAAGATACGGCTAAGCAAACAAATGACCTGACACACACGGGAGAATCACTTGACCCAAACCCTTCAACTTTGGAAATATGACAGGGGTCTATCGAGCAGCAAATTGAGGCATGCAAGAAGAAGCTTTCAGCAGTAACCCGAATTCAACTCGAGATCCAAGGCACTAATGGAAAGCCGGTCTGCCAACGGCAAGCGTTGAAATCTGGAGAAGCTCGCGATAACTTGGCCGAGGGGGCTTGGAAGTTCTGGAGCGCCAGCAAAAACTGGAGCTGTAGCTTCCAAACCATCCGGGCTGTAAAAGGCAGACTCTGTGAAGTCTGTGAAGATGTCACTTTCTTCCAGACCGATTTCAGCAAGTATTGCGTTCATGTTGGGGTAATCCCTCCAAAAGCCCCTAGTGCCTGCCTCAAAGGGCTTGCCCGAAGGTGTCTGCATGCCGCTTCCAGGCTGTGGGGCGCCATCCAGCAGAGTCACGTCACAGCCGTTTTCGCACAGCGCCTTGGCAGCACCAAGGCCTCCCCATCCGGCTCCCACAACAGCGACACGGGGGGACCCACGGGAGCTGCTTGAGCCGGCGGAGCCTGTGGCTCTGAGGGCTCTTGCGCTGACCCGCGACCGCTTGCGTCGGGGCCCCGCTCGCTGTTTGGAGGCCGATCCGGCTGTGCTCCGCTGCGCCCACAGTGCAAAAGCTGCGACAGGCACGGACCAAAAAACGGCACTCCTCGGACGGGAGCTCGACACTGGTGCAACTGCCGATTGTGCGATCACACCCGGCGTCACACCCTGTGACAATCCAGGCGTTCTGCAAGGCACCTCTCGGTGCTCTCGGACTGAAGCAACGATCATCATAGAAGAGCTGTGGACAACGGGGCTTTCAATTGTATCAACAGCTGCGGCACATGCTGGTTCTTCTACTGTACGTCCACATCACCCAAAAGCAACAGGACACCAGTCCGGAGTCTTCGCTAGCGAGGTAGCTATTCAGCCGGACACTTACTACTTACTGGCCAGCGAAGTCCTGGTAAGCGACAAGTGTGCAACTTGGGTGAACTAGGGAATCGATTAGAAATGCTTGCACTTGACAAAAAAGGCAGACTCATTTTGGTGGCTCTCCACCGATGACCATAGCTGTCTTTCTAGACTGCTGCATGCCAACTGCAAGAACTTCGTTTTCTAAGTCCCCGACAGCAGAGTAACCTGAGTTGACCGGAAGTCATGAGACAGCGTGAGAGTTCACGGGGCTCGGCCCTGGGCAGGGCAGCCCCAAATACTGCCAATACTGGTCCAGTGTCCAAAACAGTGCCCAACAGGAAAAAGCGGAATTCGGGGCAAGATGCGGAGTCCATCTGGCGAGAGGTGGTGAGGAGCCTTGCAAACGTTAAAGTTATTGCCAGAATCTGTGCAAGTGTGGGTGGGCCCGTCCCGCCTCCCTTGAATCAGCGACTTCACCGCCCGAAGCACAGTGGCTCCGCTAGCGTAGAAGGCCCCCAGCAGATTAAAGTTGAGTTCCTGGATTCTGCCCACCAAAACAGAACAAGAGTCAACTCCTTTGAGACTTCAATTTGAGAATATTAAAAGAAAAAGGTTGATAGAGAGACGCCATCAACATCAGACCAGCATCCTTAGCACTGCAGACGGCCAGTCCAAGGCAGATAACCGGCATAGATAGCCACGTCTTGAGCGGGAATCGCTTTTGCTGCATCACCACAGCAAGCAGTACTGTGATCAGCGGCGACATGGATCCTAAGCTAGCCCAAACTCGCGCAGAGTGTTGGCTGCGACTCGCGCCTTGCCAGCATCCCAACTCTCAGCAGAGTGCAGTAAGTGCAGGTCCCAACATCTGGTTGAAAGAAGGGTAAATATACTTCAGCGAGAGGTTGCCCATCGCCACAGAAAGTGCAAAGCACAGCGACAGAGGCATGATCTCCCTCGCTTGTTGTGCAAGTCCCATCATCGCTTTTCCTGACAAGGAGTGCCAGCAAAGCACAGCTGCATCTCCATTTCCTTCACGTTGACGATCCATGGCCGCAAAGAAACCCTGATACAAACCCCCTGCCTTCGAGACCTCCGCGGATTTGGAATATGTACACTCTGCAGAGCATCCAGGAAAAGATCATGTGGATCACCTGGGCATTGTGGGCACAATCGACTCAAGCAGTTGTTGGCTACCTCTGCCAGAGTAGCACCTAACACGGCACTGAAGCTGCGAACAAGCCACAGTGATGGCCACGGGATATTCGTACTTCTGACATCCTTTGTCCTGCAGCACTGTAGCGCATGACTCCGGGCTATCCACTTCTGCAACTACCACTTCGCCCTCAGGTCCTGAATGCAAATATTCCCGTGCACAAAGATCCACTTGGTTGAACTTGCGATTGTGATGTTGAGAATGAACCAAGATGTCACCACCGCCGCCGTTTCCAGCTGCCGCTGCCAATTACCCTGAGCACAAGAGCTCGTGTGCTTCCAACATCTCCTATAACAGCACATGATTCGACTGAAGCCACACAGAATTTTCTGACACTCCGGCCTGATTTGTCTCATTGCGCTCGCGCTCATCTGGGGATAGTTCAGCAGACATACACTGCGACAAGCATCCTCCAGCCAAGACTGGGGGTTTGCCATCTTGTATCCCTTGTGAGATTCATGCCCCTGCCTGAACCCGTGCCGGGGCCCTGGCGTAATCGCAATGACATGTCTGAGCCAAAGGCCACAGGAATAGGGGCTCCGAATGGGGGACTGAGGGCTTCCATTCCTTTTTTGAACGTATTGTATAGCAGGCTTCCCAGCCTTGACGGGATAGCAAACAAGACAGCAACCGCAAGCATCCATTCTGGCTCTGGGTCTTTTGGCAGGCCAGGATGTCGCGCGCAACAACCAGCGGCCGCTACCGCTCGCGTTCTTCGAGCAGATTGAGTGCATTGCCGAGGAACTCGCCTCCCAGGACCAGTCGAGTGCAAAGTGTGAAGTAAAGTGTGAACAGCTCAAACACATTGTTCAACACTGGTGCAACGCCAACCTGCACGCCGCCTTGTGAAAGCTCGTTTCGCACCTGATCCAGTTCGGCACAACAAGACACTCTTTAAGTCACTCTTTCCTCGAACCCAAACCGCCTGGTGGTGCCAGAACAAGTGCAGCGGAGGGCATCACCTAGAGACGACCGGGCAGCCCAGACTTGCTTTCACGGCGATGGTCGTGCACCAACCTGCTGCACTTTCTTCACACTGTCCTGTGTCAGGAGTGCAGATAGAAAATCATCTCAAACGAGCCTGGTCATGTAAGTTGGACACTGGAGAAGAACATGGCATCACAGCTCACAGCACAGCACATGTTTTGGTTCCATTCTCCTCTGCGACCAGTGGGGCCTCCTGTCCAGAAACGACTTAAGATACTAGGGTTACGAGGGGGGGTGCAACTCATGATGCGCTGCTGCACTCATCCAGCCTCTTCTTTCATCAGGTCCCTTACCTCAGACATTTGCAGGGATGAAAAGACATCGTAAGTATGGCACAAAGGCAAACTGCGGCAAGACCGTACTTTAGCATCGAGTGGCACTCAGCGCACCTTTGGCTGCTGATGACGTCTTTGCCTCTTGGGACAGAACACTTTACCTATGATGCGTCACACAGCGACCTGATCTTTTGTGTACATGATTCACTTTCAAGTCTCTTATGCTTTGGCTTGACGCAAAAGTGCATCTGCATCTGTTCATGCAAGTACTGCCTGATGGTCGTGCTCACGTTCGAGCTCTGCTTCTCTTTCGAGCCTGTTCCAAAGGTCCAATGGTGGTAGAGAGGTGGCTTGCAAAGATCATCGAACCCTGGCCTGCATTCGCCATCCCGCTTCCTCAAATCACCCACCTTGCGATGCCCCAAAGCTTACATGACCTACGTGCTCCGTCACACAGCACACGTTCAAGCTTAGTGACCGCTTGGGCGTATCCATCGTCTTGGCTGTAGCAATTCAGCTTTTCACAGGTGTCCTGAGCAGCTCTGGCAGGTGTCACAAGCTATTGTCAGGGTATTGCGGAGTCATGGGCCTTGCGATGATATTCGCACCGCAGAACTTCACCTTCAGCTCTTTTTCAGCAGCTCTCGAGTTGCAAGATGTTGCAAGGCTCTCCAGTTTGCTGGGACAAGGGGGCCTGATGGTAACTTTCGAGGAAAAGTGCCCAACTGCCCTGGAGCCAGAGTGGCCTCCGCAGTCTGCAGCTGCTCAGAAGATGCGAATGCCTCGATCACTCCCCACGATCCTTGCCTGGAGCATCTGCATGTCTTTGCACATCTTTCGGGCCGATTGCGCCTGCCCGAGCAACTCATGGCTCTCCACTGGCACTGATGTGACGATAGCAGCTGCCCCCTCCTGTAAAACTAGACACCCGCGTGCACTTACTCTCTCATCCTCTTCTTCTTCCTCTTCTTCTTCAAGGCTTGAAGGGCCCCGGCAAACCTCGCCTGCGTTCTCTCACTCTGGGCACGCGAGCGCGGCCAAAGTCCCATCTCCCCGTGAAACCGCGAAACGTCCCTCGCTCACTCCCTCTCTCTCTTCTTCTTCACACTTGCTCTCTTTCTTCGTATTCTTCTTCTTCTCGTAAAGCTACAGTTACAGCGCCCACCCGAGGGCGCTTCAGCCAAGTCAACCAAGTTTTCACATGTGGCATACGGGTTATGCACAGCTATGCGGATGTATGGCCCGACCTGACCTACGCATGACTTGCCCGTGAACGCATCCATGTCAAAATGAGACGCCTTGACGTATCTCGCTTCAAAGAGTTGCGAGCACTCGGTGCGCGGAGCTTCTGGTCCCCAATTGTTCTTCAGCTTCTGGGCTATCATGTCCATCAGAGACCTCAAGCAAATCTCAGGTACGTTAGAACAGCTGCATGAAGGGCTATCAAAGGAAACTTAAGCATTTGTCTGTTATCCTGGTTTTGCCTAAGCCTCTGTTCGCTCTGTATTTTTCTTATCACTTACTAACGAGAATCCTACTGCTTTCTCCGAATTCGTACTAATTTTGGGTCTGTTGTTTTGGTGCTCTTTCTAAGTATATATCTTAATAGGATTCCTGCCAACTTGCAGAGCATTCCCATTTGAAAACAGAACACTCACATAACTGTCAAGAAATGAAAAAGCGAGAGGGTTGGAGGGGGCGGGCGCGCAGCCACCCCTTTTGCAAACGTAATGTTCGTATGACACAACTGTCAAGGACAAGTAAAAGCGAAAGGGGCTGGGGGGCGCAGACCCCCCCCATTTGCAAACACAATGCTCGTATGATTGTCCATGATTCCAAAAAGCGAGAGGTTGGAGGGGGCCCGCCCCCATTTGCAAACACAATGCTCGTATGACTGTCAAGGAATAAAAGCCGGGGTGTTTGGTGGGGTGTTTGGGAGTGGGGGCCGCAGCCTCCCCCCATTTGCAAACACAATGCTTGCATGACTGTCAAGGATTAAAAAGAACAAGGGGTTGGGGCCTTGTATGACTGTCGGGGCGATTATTTGGAAAGTAAAAAAAATGCCCATACGAGACTCATTCGGATCGGGACGTGTATAGTACCCCAATGCGACCATTTCTTTGCTTCCCGATCCGCCCTTGCAAACCGTGGCCGAAAAGAGGAGCAGATCCCCCCCTACACAAAGAGCTGCAACCTGGCAGCAGCACACCGGCAGACTCAACACGCTCGATCAGCACTTGGCCCATACCAAGGACAAGCTAGAGAAGCAACAACAGCTCGATGCGTCCAAGCAAGCCATCATCTCTTCATGGGCCAGACTCTTCCACGAACCAAGACCGGCAAAAAGGAGTTGAGTGCCTAGTGGATAAGATTGGCATGTGTGTGTACACCCAACGCTCAAAGCCAAGGGAGGCAACTCACATTTCAGCATCGTCGACTTCCACAGCAAAGATGCTCGAAATTACTTTTTAAACATGGTCAAGAAAGACATGCTCACTTGTCATGGCCCCATCCAGGTGGGCAGAGCCCAGATCCTCAAGCACCAGCGAGAGGCAGCCCAACCCTTCCGTTGCGCCATCGCAGGCTACGCCCAGCTAGCCGGTAAACAACAGCGCTATAAGCCTCTCTGGGAGTTAGCGGCAGTAATTATGGAAGTCTTATCGCAGAAGTGTAGCAACATCAGTTAGCTTTTCTGGAACAGCAAGTGGGGCAAGTGGGGCAACATCAATTGATGGTTGCTGCGGGCGCCCGCAATGCCATGATTTGAGCATCCCCGAACTGAATGCGACTCGCCATCCTGGCAGAACCCTTAAGAGCGATGCACCCACCCGATCCGCACTCCTGAACTGCCGCAGACATGTCTCCAAGAAGCGCGCCGAGTATCCCGCCCTGCCGAGCATCCCTGGAGTGCCCCACAGAGAAAGTTCCGCCAAAAAAGCCCCGCCACCGAAGACACGGGGAAGTGTCCGAAACGGCCGGATGGTTCCCACATCAAATCGGTTGGGTGTGAACGTTTACCCGTAGAACTCATCGATGACTATCTAAGGTGACATCGCCACGCTGCACTGCTGTCCCATTGAAACGATATCGAACATGCGGCAGAATGATGGGCCAAGCTGCTGGATTTTTGGAGCGGCAACCTTGTAGGCCTTGACCCACGCCTGAAGCGGCTTGACAACAGACCCGACCAGAGAGTTTGTCGTGAACCCAAACGCTCCTCGTTGGACAAAGGCTCGGCGTTTATCTGGAACGGAAAGACTTGTCCGCCTCAACACCGCCGCTGAATCAAGATGAACGAACCAACCGCCACGTGGCGACAAGCAAAGCCAGATACTCACATGGACTGAAATAACTCATTGACTCAAAGGCCATGACCGCTTGCATCGTCTCCCAAGCCTTCAGGTTCCGGATCCCACCTCAAACGTTCATCAGCCGAAGCCAAGGGCCAAGGAATCTCGGATGCCGAGCCGAGGAACAGTGGATACTGTGGGATGATCCACAAGTCCTGGAGACATGACATGACGCAATAGACAGCATTCCTGACGCAAATGACAAAGCACGGTGAATTCTTTGGGCAAGCGGGCTTCAGGAGGCTTCCGGTTCCACAGGCCTGCTCCTCCGCACGCTTGCCTTGCAGCAGAACGAAATTCCGCTTGCGGTACTCCTCCTGGCGGAACGCGCACATTGGACTAGGGAATCAGTCCCTTACTAGGGGGTCTAAATCACATGGGACTGGAAGCTGTGCAGCACCCGTCACACCTTTAGACCCTGTTTACCCCTGGTCTGCATGGCGCTCGTTCTGTCTTCATGTCCAAGTCCATGGGTTTTGGCTGGATTGTATGCTACCTCTATGGCATGACTCTATGCAACGTCCGCTACGATTCCGACTAGTTCTTTTTTCACATGGTACTTTGTGAGAACAACTGGATGTCAACCTTCCCTGTCAGAAGCAGCACAAGACTTCCAATCAATTCTGCCAGGGCGACGCCAGCCTTTGGAGGCGTCTCAGCTTCAACAGGTTGCCCCGGAGGCTGCACAGACGTTGTGCTACGTCTTGCTTGACGCAGAGTATCTTGCCACATGATCACTCGCGAGAGCATGGCATTTATGCTGCTGCGTCGCGGATCCCGCCCACCCCCACCCACCCCCTCCCCCGCACCCTTTTCTGCATCAACCCCCTTTTCTGCATCCTGGCCTGTGCCCCACCCCCTAAAACCCTAAACCCTGAACAAACCCTTAGAATACTTAAAGACCCTGCGCAAACCCTTAAGGGCCCTAAAGCCCAAAAACCCTAAAGCCCTAAACCAGACACCCCTACCCTTAAACCCCAGAATCCTAAACCCCCCCCACCACAGGTCGGACGACAGGGATCCCGGGATCCCGGCCCACGGGATCCCGCGGGTGTGGGGGGTGGGGGGGGCCCGCGACGCTGCACCATATGAATGCCATACAAACGAAGACTGCTGTGCTGCAAGAGTGACTTCAACTCAACTCAAAACAGTCGCATGTCGGTTCTCTGCTGGCAATGACGACCTGAAAGTCCTTGTCGTAGCAAGCAAGGGTCCTTAGGTCAAGTCGTGACCGTCAACTGCACGCCACACTACACATGCAGAGCTTGAAAGCATTTTGACTGTGAGCTTCAGCCGCGAATCGGTCGCCCATCCAAGACTTTCGTGCCATAGGAGCAGTTGGCACATTCAGAACACTGTTCCTGCGCTGCCATTTCAAGCTAAAGTGCAAAAACCGTTCCGCAAAAACTCTGACACCCTCACAAGATAGGATCCGCAAACAAAACATGTCAGCTCCGGTCCCAGTTGCTGCTGAGCCCTAAGCAGTCATCACCTCAAAGAATTCCATAGCAAGACGAATGCAGCGTGACCGTGAAAGAGGTGAAAGCAAGAAACTCCGCGAATGGCTGCCGGAAAGGTCCCGGCAATGCGGAAGCGGCTGGACCTGAAAGTTGCCCATGACCACCTCCACTCCTCCTGCAAAAGCCAACAGCCAACACGAGAGGCAACATTGGAGCGTATTCGTGGTCTTGACACTCTTAGCAGCTTCACGCGGTCCAGCATCACCCGAGTCGCCCTCGGTGAACTCCGGAAGGATTTCCTTGCTCTTGTTCCTTTCGACAGCTGCGCAGGTCATGCCCAGTGAGCTGCAACGATCTCCACTGAAGCAGACGCTGCAACCCTGGGCCATGCATGAGACATCGACAAGGATTCGATGAGACTCTTTAGCCAAAGAGCCCGTATCCAATTGCCCCATCAGAGGTGGCGGGCTTCACGCACATGCACCTCAAAAGCACTGGATCGACGAACCGTTGCCCAGAAAAGAATGTCTGATTGCTTTGACGACTCTTCAACGGCCTTAGGCAGAAAATCTGGCTGCTCGAGCTGCTGTTGCATCTTCAAACGTCCCGCCGTGCATCCTCCGTCTTCAACTTGCTTGCAGCTCCGGGACTTGTCGCCGCTGGATCCACATGGAGTCTTCGGACCGGCCTCGGCTGAGCCAAGCTCCAGCAGTGTGGTCTTTGATGGCCCAAAATCCCCACCCTCATCCCAGTTCTCAGTTGCAACGTACGAAATTGAAATTCAGCTGGGGGGGTCTGAGCTCTGGTCCGCACTGGTCATAGCAGGAACAAAACATGATGACCATCAGTAGTCTTGAACACACCCAGCGGCCCTGACAAAACACTGCCCCATGATCTTTCTTCATGCATTGACGATGGACAGAGAGACGAAAGACGTAGAGACGCAAAGACGTAGAGACGTAACTACGTAACTATACGCAGCTACGTAACTACGTAACTATACGTAACTATACGTAACTATACGTAACGATACGTAACTAAACTATACGTAACTATACGTAACTATACGTAACTACGTAACTATACGTAACTACGTAACTATACGTAACTACGTAACTACGAAAATATACGGAACTATACGTAACTACGTTTCTACGTAACTACGTAACTACGTAACTACGTAACTACGTAACTACGTAACTACGTAACTACGTAACTACGTAACTACGTAACTACGTAACTACGTATAACTACGTAACTACGTAACTACGTAACTACGTAACTACGTAACTACGTAACTACGTAACTACGTAACTACGTAACTACGTAACTACGTAACTACGTAACTACGTAACTACGTAACTACGTAACTACGTAACTACGTAACTATACGTAACTACGTAACTACGTAACTACGTAACTACGTAACTACGTAGAGCAAGGGCATGACATGGCATTCTAAGGCTCTGGCCAGCATGGCATTCTGAGACCAGCACATTCCTGCACAGACTTGCGATGCCACGATCTGGAAAACGACACCGCTCGAGGCTTCCCACAACAGTCGAGCCGGCACTGAGATCTCGTCCTGCTTGGCCTTCCTCTCCTGGCAAATTCTAGAGGTGGTGAAACAACATTCATCTGACCGAACATCTGACAAAGTGAAATCAGAAAAAGACGAGAAGACCACGAGCATTGCCTGGCTTTGGTGGCTGGCATTTCCCTGCGGGGGTCATGTCGCCTGCTCCACAGGCAGATGCTGCAAAATCTAAATGCCCATGAACAACATGAACAAGAATGCACGGACTGATTCGGGCCTAGCCTCTTGCTGGGCAACCCCACTCCCAGACATCCCGTTGCTCGAATCTGGGAGGCAGTATTGGCGTGTAGACGCGCTTGTACTCACCTCATCAGAAGTGCCACATGCAAAGGCGACCCTTGCTACAATAAGGCAACGATTACTTCACTTCAGTGCTGAATCAGCACAATGAATCTTACCGCGCTCGTTGCAAATACTGAGCAACTACAACTGATCCACAGGGCTGCATGAAAGTAGACCCCTCGAAATTCTGGAAACAGGTACGTCGTCTGCACATGATGCAAGCTGGGAAAATGGCCATTGTGCTCCATGCCAAACTCACTGATCTTGGACCTTGCTCAAGGAACAAATGTAACAGATCGTACAAGTAGCATCCAAGGTTGCATCTTAGCTGCAGGCATGCACCGAAATCCGGGAGCACATCCAACATTCTGGGAGACCTTCTCCACCTGCCTGGGGAGCAGGAGCTTCTTGGAAGTTTCGAGAAACCGCGCAAAAAGTTAAACTGTTGACTGAATGTCCTTCCGGGTTACTTCAATCCCGTTTTGGGACTTGGTGCACCTGCCTCAGAATGCAACGGTCACCAGATCAGCACAAGGCCGTACGGTGTAAGCTCAGCTCAAGGGCCTCGAAACTTGATCTTTGCTGCCAGTGCCGGACACTCGGCCAAACGCCTACACGCCAACACAATACATCACCGACATGACTAGATGGGGCACGTGTGTCACACATGATCTGCCTTGTTCCGGGATGTGAGCTGAGGCCACGTCTGCATTTTGCAGCAGATAGCCAATGCCCATGTTGCATTCGTCACATCGCAGATCGACACACCGCCCTGCTTGGGCGTGTTGACAGCACTTGCGCGGACATGTCTCCGATTTACAAATCTTCGCAGGCTGCCCTCTGCCTAGTACTAGACATAGAGTATTCCTGAAAAAGTAGGCTTGACGCTACACGTGTACTCGACCACAATCTTCTGGACAGCCATATTGTCAGAAACACAAGCATTTGCAGCAGGCATGTGACGCTTTCAGTCCGGACTGTGTGAGGCTTCGCTCCTTTTTTGCTGGCCTGTTTTACGCCGGTTTCATTAGCTCTGGTTCGCATTTGCTGGCGAAGCGCTTCGCCTCACTCCTGATGCCATGAAGTATCCATGCCTCAGGTCAGTGAGCTCGTTCGTGAAGCGCACACGAAGGGACTTTCCCAGTTTCCCTGACTCGTGCACCTCTTTTTTGGGTCGAGGCTTCATGCTCCGGGGCTTTGAGGGAGTTGATTCGAAGGAGCAAGGAGGCTGTCCCGATCGAGGATAGGGTGTCTAGGTGAGGGATTGCAGGGGCGCCGTGGGCTAAACCCACCGTTTAGAACAGCTGTGCGTGGTCACGCCCTCAAATGTCGCATCATAGCAGAGCTACTCACGAATGCAGAACATTGCTGCATCAACATCTCAACCATGAACCGAAGAACTAAGCTTAGCGCTTCGCTGCAGCTGTGTTTGTTTCTGCAATCCAGCAAGAACAACCTCAGCTCTCAGAAACTCTCTCTGAGCTGTGGAACACACACGGCACGGACTCTGGCCAGGCAAGCGGACAAGCAAGTGCCCTAGCACGGCAGTTCTTCAGCAGAGACTACAGGCGAAAGTATGGTATCGGGATGGGCATCTGTTGGACTGCTGCAATATGGGCCACTGGTACAGTAGCAAGTGGGCTGCGATTGCTGCGGCTCAGCGGCTCAGTGGCCATCCCGCTGAAAGCAGCAGCACAGCACGCCGCCGAGCCACTCCGCCCACATCGCCAAGTCAGACTCGCCGACCGCAGGCGATTTGGGCTGCTCTTGCACCTTTGTCTCCACATCGGCCGCCACCGTTGAAGCCGCCGCCGCCGTTGAGGCCGCTGCCTCGGGAGATCCCGCTTCGCCTGCGGCCAGCTCGGCCCGCAAGGCTTTCTCTGACGCCTTCCAGCGCTGGCCGGCCTTTTTCAGCTCGGCCAGCGCTTCCGCACACCCCAAGCCCTGGTTCTCAGCGTATTCTGCGACCAGGTCCCGGGGTGCACCTTCGAGCAATGTTGGGTTTAGTTCAGGCGGCGGCCCCCGGCGGCGCATGGCTCGGAGGATCAGTGACGTCAATGTCGGTATATGCTCAAGCTGATTGAGCCAAGGACGCGTCTGTCCGAGAGATTGTTGGCAACTGACCGTACTTGATCTCTCACATCTTGTGGGGAGCTCGGATGTGGGGCAGGGCCGGCCCGTGCCGCCAGCATCCACTTCTATTAAACTGTAGACCCCAAATATCCCTAAATACTGGGCGCAGCCCCTGGGTATCTTGCCCAGCCATCCCAGCATAGTTCAGCTAAGTGCTTGGGAGCCCAAGGGCATCCCAGCGTATCAAGTGGGAGCTAATCGAAAGCTGCATCAGCAACCGGATGGAAAGGCAACCATGCTCCAAGCCAAGCCCTGGCATTCGTTTATCCGCTCTTGCTTTGATGCACTGCTGAACTATGTCGAACTGCAGAGCACGTCATGTGCTGTTTTCTATCAAGAAGGCCATGGACTGCGATCTTGCACAGTTGGGCCCGGCTATGAGGCTGTCGGTATTTTTGCTCGTCGAAGCCGAGCAACTGCCTTGCTACGCAGAACACTCACAAGAGACCTCAGTGCTGCAGGTCGCGACATAAAGACACTTCATGTACAACAGCGTCGGGCACCTGAGTCTCTGATGACGGCCTGCTCGAACATAGGTAGTCACGATGGCTGCCCAACCGCCAGCCTGAATCTGCGAAGTCCTACAAACGTGACAGGCACATTGCCTATGCTGTGTTTTGGAAGCCCGTCGATGGACAGGCCTCCATTTCCAGCCTGTTCTTGCGAGCATATTCCATCAGCAACATCACCTCAGATGGGCACCCGTAATGTGTGGGCCGGCTCGCCCCAAACCCCAAGCCATGTGCCAGACTGAGCGCCAGTGGCCCCCAGCACAGCAGGCACCAAGGGCGGCGTCACAGCACACGCAGTCCAGCTCCAGTTCGGCCTGGCTTTGGAGAAATCGATGAAAACACGTCGATCTCAACATTCTGAGATGGCTCTTTGGACATCTTTGGACCCTGACTCATGCTTGGCTGGAACTTCGCACCCTGGACTTTGGATGACTTTGGCTTTCGCTATGCCCGCGTGGCTTTGGTTCCATGGGGGGGGCAACGTTATGCACGAAGCAGCCTGGCAGAGCGGGCTCGAGAGTCGTGCAGTGACTTTGTGTCACGCTTCCTATCGAACCCCTACTCTGAAGCAAGCCTTACTGAGCAGCAGCCTTCGCTGCAGCTGGAGACTCCCCGAAGAGGAGATTATGAATTATCAAGTTTCGCCACCCATGCTGCTTAGCCCTGACGGGATCTGAACGCAAGGCAGGCTTCGGGTAGAACTGTCTCATAAACTTCGCAAGATTCTAGGGAAACATGCAAACACGCGAGTCTGCACACCATCTTCCCCTTCTGGAGCCTTCACTGCGTCGTGCAGCAACCTGCGCAGGATACGAAGTCTCGAACAAAAAAAAGCCGTAAGTGCCTTACTCAAGTCCAACCAATAACTGCGAGCAGCGTGTCGTGCCGTGACTGCTTGCACGTTCACCCCATGAAAGGGCCAACCTTTCAAGGCCCGGCAAACTCCCATCCAGCCTCATGGCTGTGACCCACCAACTGCCGGAAGCCTCGACCAGCAATGCAGATCTTTAACAGCAAATAACCTTAGAGCCTGCACCTGGCCCCTGAGCCACACAATCATTGGGGACCCAAATGGCCCAAGCATTTCCCCAGCATCCTCCTACTCGCAGCCCTAACCCACAGCCGGGGGGCACAAGCCCGCAGGCCCAGGCTCACGGCGACCACCTGAGTGTCATCCAGTGTTCAGGGAAAGGGAATCTTTTGAGAGAAGTTGATGGGTTGCTGGAGGGTTGTGATTGGGGGAGGAAACATGTTGGGTTGAGCTGATGTTGCACATTCGTGGATATTCGTGAGCGGATCGCTGCGGTGAGCGTAGGCTCAGCGAATCCAAGCTATCGGACGCGATTCCGCCGACCATGGGGCGGCGTGTTGGATGGTCGTTTCTGGGAAACCGGTTCCCTAGCCGTTGGAGCCGGTGGTGCGTGAACGCATGGACGGCTATCCGCGTGGAGTCTCTGGATGGTCTGGACAGCAACTTTACATGTGGGGCGGGATTTCGGCGCCGAGTGGGGACACGTTTGGATGCAGGTTCGTTGCAAACGCGCCATGGCCTGGCATGCCGCAGGTCGCATGATCCGGATACTGTTTCGGGGCGCGGCAAGGATTGAGTTCTGAACATGCCCCAAACTCATTGTTCGAGTCCCATCCTCGAACTCCTTGACCCAGGCACACCAATCACACGACCCGCTCAACCTATCCATGACTGGCACATGTCTGGGTGTCTCTCTCAGGCTTTTTCCCTGTGTTCGCATATGCATGGCCCGAGGTGGGGGCATTGGGCCGCACGTCGTCCGTACAGGCGCGGAGAGTCGACAAGACCTGGTGGAAATAACAGATCTTGAGGTCTTTTGGTGCTTGGCTTGGCTTGGCTCGGCTCGGGATTGAGGCTTACCACTTCTATGTAGGGCTTAGAGCCAAGCCGAGCCAAGGTGAGCAAACCGGCCCAACGACCAAGCATTTGAACAAAGCCCCCACCTTCTTGGGCTGCTCACAGCGATCGCAAGCTGTCATAACCTGAAAGGCTCACAAGGCCCGGAAAAGAAAGCAGTGCAGGTGATGCAGCACGGTGCTGTGCTAGCCATGCTAGCCCCTTCGATTCTGAAAACTTCAGACGAAAGCCAGGAGCAGCACCGCGCTGTAGGTGCTGACTGTCGGCCGGATCTTCCGCCAAAGGAAGTGCTCAAAAAGCCTGAAAGTTACAAGAACAACAGATGCGGCATCTTTTTTTGCAACTGCCACATGCTCCGGCGGAGTTGCTCGAATGCTGCCGTCCACTCGGATCGACAAGCCTGGGCTTGGGGGATTCCACGAGAACCCACTCTCAATCTGCACGCTCTCGATCTGCAGTGAAATCCTATACCGTGGATCCTCACTCCCCGTGCAGATCTCGATCTAAGAGCACGTTGCACAGCGCTGAGCCCAGCAGGGGCCCCGCACGGAGATGGCCGCGTTGAGCATCACCACGTCAACTTCAATCCCACGCGCACCTGCCTCTGCCAAAAATCTACAAAAAGAGCGCACTCTCAGTAAAAAAAAACGTTTGAAGAGAAACACGTGAATGAAGAGAGAAAGGATCGCAGTCCGAACAGCCTGCTCAAGCAGCCACAATGCTTGAAGCCAGCAACCTCCTGCTCTTTGGCAGCGTGGGTTGTGCTCCCTGGGATTGGAAACTCCCCCTCGGCAATCCTCCTCCACATGCAGAGATGGCAGCACCTTTCAGCAGCTTTAGACAGCCATTAAGTATGCTTGAAGTTCATCTGGGAAACCGACCATAGGTGAAGGCATTCGCCAGCCTCACCTCCCGCAACTCGATGAACAATAGCAGCGCCCTGCAGTCAGAGAGATGTGAAAACGGGTCACTACCGTGTGCATCTCCGACCTCTCCCACTCGCCAGCAGAACCGCAAGCAGCCACCATGCTGCTAATCGTCATCAGGTCTGCCGAGACGCTCCTGACACGTTCGACACATTCTTTTTCCGTTCAACACACGTTTGACTGAAAGGCAAAAAGGAAACCGAGGCGACTTAGATGCCGACCTGGGCATCAATGAGGGGACCAGCAAGGCGCGGCGCCAGGCAATTGAACTGCAGCAAGCGCTGACCACCTAAGGCATCAAACTACCTATAAACACATAGGCGTACATATATACGTCTATGTATCGGGAGAAGCTCCACCACTCCACCACTGTCACGCAAACACAAGCTCCACCAAATGACGGGGAAATCCTTCAAGAATCCAGCCCTTGTCTCCAGCAAAGGGTCCAAATCCCAGCAAATCCCAGCAGCAAATGCAAAATCATGAGCACGATAAACTTTCCGAGAATTACTACAAGCAGGTCTCGCTACTGTTTACTACTGTACTTGTCACCTGGTTCCCTGATGGCCTGCACAGTGACTCGAGAAGCCTACAGTATGCAGCAAGGCCGATCGAACTGAGTGCCTCACTGCGTTGAAGTTCATGGTCCTGGCTTCCACGGCAGCCTCCTGGTCAGCTATTCTCAGCCTCCAAACTTTCAAAGGCACCGGGCTGCTTGATAAACAGATCAGCCTGCAATGCGAAGAGAAGGCACACGGCCTCTCGCCATTCCTTGTTGCCATGGCCGGACCGAATGTCAGCGAACACTGGCTTGCTTTGGTCTAAACCAGCAAAGCTTCGCAGGTGCTCAACAGACTCGCCCATGTCACCGGTGTCAGCGGTACTTTCAGTGCCGATGCTGACTGCAAGCCAATCCTGGAAGTCAAAGACAGCAATCGACACGATGCCAGACCAACGCCCCACGACTGTCAGTCCTCCAGCTACTGCAGGTCAAGACCTCGTTCAAAGTGAATGCATCAGGCGCCATGCCCGAGCACTGCAGTAGGTCCGCCAAGTCATGCCTTGGAAATCCCACAAGCACAGAGTCGCAGAGGGTGCAGAAAGACTCGCTCTCGGCCAAGAGGCGCCTTTTGCCAAAGCGAAGCCTCAGCACGAGGTGCCATGGGCCATAAAGTAGAGCAAACCCAGCTTCCCGAATTGCGTTCAAATTGGAGTTTTGAAATACGAGAATAGTAGCACCATTCTCGAGAGTTTCGGGATGTAGCACTCATGATGCTAGCTCCGGGCTATAAAAGAGGGAAAATTAGGCACTGAACCCTGAACCGCTTGAGAACAGACTCCAGCACGCAGCCGGGAGACTGCTGAGCAGGCTTTCATGGCTGTGTTGAAGGTTACCTTGGCTTGGAACAAACGAATTACCCGTTTTGCCATCCATGTGCTGCACAACGACCGTTTTTGTTTTCGAGGGTTTAGGGTTTTAGGGTTTTAGGGTTTTAGGTGGGGCACCTCCTCTGATCTCAAACCGTCTTTGAGCAGAAAGTCGTAATAATAAGAAAAACCTGGGGCCTAGGAATCTTGTACTGCGTGAACTTGAGGCGGAAATCCTACCAAGTTCATGAACTTTCCCCACCGCATGCTTGCGCACGAGACAAAGCAAGTCAGGCCACGCGACGAAAGCATACCTCATTGCATGAAGGTTACAGAATCGGGCTCGACTTTCCAGCGCATCAGCTCCTGCACGCCCAAACAAAAAAAAAACACTCTCGACTCGGTCAACCTACACACGTCTCCTCCAACGAGCGCAGAACCCAGGAAGTCTCATCTGACCGGCCGCAGGCGGCGAGGACCTTTGCACTGCACAGTGAAACAGGCAGTGTTTGGGGCAGCGCTGAGTGGCCGGGCCGAGTTCCACGAAATGATGTCCGTTTGCATTCTCTTCTCCTGGGAGCGGGGGACTTGCGGTCTAGTGATGTCTAGTGTTAGCTGCTTGAACAGCTGGGGAATCACAGAGGAGGCACAAACATTGAAGGCATAAATCGTGGTGTCCTGGGCTTCCTCGAGCAGCTGCAGGGCCACATGCCACCGCTCTGCTCGGGAACATGTAGCCAGTGCCACGTTGGCCGTGATCCCACTCCAGACAAGGCCCCTGCAGCGCGCCTGTCAGGGTTGAGGGGATTTAGGAGCCTGTAGGGCCGACTTTAGGGGCAACCCAAGAGCGCCACCTACCCGCAAAGCAACGTCTTAGGTAACAGAAACAAACCCTTATCTGTGCCACAGGCTTGTGAATGTTCTGAACCCTAACTAATGCAAAAGCCATAGAACAGAGCCCAAGCCTAAACCCTAGTGTACACCGAACATCAAAGGATCAACATATTAAAACCTTTTGGTGCTGTGCAGACGCTGTGAGCCCTAAACCCCAAGTTCAACTGAACCCAATCATCCGAAATCTTGAAGATGCAGCAATTGAATCATAAAGCCTCCAAGATGTCACCCAACATGCCACACCCGAGAGGTTGATCGTTGGTAAATCCATATTATCCTCAAGCCGGCATGCCAGACGTTATCCACGCTTTTTGTGCTTGCTAGCCAATCAGCTCGTTTTGATGGGCCGCAGGCGTATTAAGCTGCGCATACTGCTGGCCGGCAACTAAACATTAAATACGGAAACTGCAGAGCTCTCATTCATCATCTTCCCATCTTTCCGGCCTTTCAAGAAATGATTGTTGACATCCAAGTTGTGTTGTTGGACCAACTCAAATTGTAGACTTGGCGCCCATGATGTTTAATTTGTAAAAATAGAATCCTGAATATTCTAATCCTATCATGAATGACTAAGCATCTTCAACTTTACAAGCCATTCTAATTGAACGAATGCAACTCTCGCAATGGCTTTCCACTTCCATTTCTTTCTAGAGATTGGTTGGTGACTTGTATTGCACTTTTGATGTTGAAAGGTGCCGGCTAATCGTATATTGACATAATAAGGACAACTGACTGCCACTTATGCTAACGAAAGTGGCTGGTGAAGTTATGTTGCAGTTCAGGCTACTCCCTTCTTAGCTAATGCAAGCAACGGATCGGACGCGCTCCTTTTTTCAGGTGTTGCTCCGGGTAGCGAAGAGTGCAAAGCGGTTCTTAAAGGGCGCAAGATCACTCTGAGTTCACAACCCCCCCCCCTTGCTGTATCTAGGCAGTGCGTGCCTCTTGTAAGGTTGTGCGAACCTTTTGCTGTGCGAGCCATAGGATGCTTCAGGGAGGGTTGGGTGGGTTTTCAAAAATCTTGCTGCGAAGATTTCCGGGGCGCTCGGCGCCCACTGCAGTGCGTGAGCCTGAACCCTGCGGTGATCTCAACATTTGCAACGCCAAGACAAGCAGTAGCAAAACATGCGTGTATAAAAAAGAAAAGATCACACGCAACGTTCAGGCTACTCCCTTCTTAGCTAATGCAAGCAACGGATCGGACGCGCTCCTTTTTTCAGGTGTTGCTCCGGGTAGCGAAGAGTGCAAAGCGGTTCTTAAAGGGCGCAAGATCACTCTGAGTTCACAACCCCTTCTTTAGTCCGGAGCAACTCCTGAATCTGCTACTAGGACCCCTACCGCGCTCAGGAGTGTTTCGGCCTCAGTGTTGTGTGCCGATGCGCAGGCAGAGGCTTCATTAGTACATGCAGTGTACTCACCGTGAGACTGCAATGCTTTGGTCTCTTTTTTGCTGCGCATGCGGTTGCGAAAAGTGCGATTCTCGTGCGGAGGCAGCCAGCAAAGAGCTGGCCCAGAATGCGTCTGGGGGGTGCAGGTGGATGCAGTGGCATCGTTCTGCAAGCATTTGCAGTGAAATGCGTACGCGCTCGTGCATGCGGTGCTGGAATCGGTGCATGCGGTTGCGGCTGAGCTCGTCTGCCCAGACATTTTTCTCCCCTGCAAGGTGGGAGACTGCTAGTTGCACGGAGTGCCTGTGCGCCCAGTCTGCGACTAGCTTCAGGAAAGATGCGAGTGGCTCGGTTGTACTGAAGAGCTTATTTATGCCGCTTTCGGCTGCAGTATTGTCGCTTGCTGTGGGTAATATAAAGGACATGCTGGATGGCCTCGCCTTCAACCAAGCGGTTTGCAGGAGCGCGAGCTGTGCGAGGACTTCAAAGCAGGCGATGTACGGCTGTGCTGAGTCTGTGAGGGCAGGCCAGGTGGCGCGGACCTCTTGCATGGTCCATGTTTCGCTGAACCATGCAAAGCCTCTGCTGGTACACATCCATCCCCCTATTCCCACCTGGTTGCCTTCTGCCATGGCATCTGCGGCGCTAAGGCATTGCAAAAGCTGCGGTTGGTGAAGGGGAGCGATGTTGCTGTGTTTGAACATTTGTTCAAGCCACAGCAAGGCTTCTTTGCTTTGCTTGCGGAGGTGCACTTCATGGCGGCTGGGGTCTGCCAGGCGCACCCACGTGCGCTGGCTGGTTTTGGGCACACGTGGGACGTCTGCTTTGCAAGAAATAGGAATGCTTCCGACTTCGAGAAGCTGTGCATTCTTTGGGAGCCACATACCTGCGGGGTTTTGCACTCGTGCCTGGTCGTCCAGCGCCTGGTAGAATTGCTGCCATTGCGTGGCCGGCACGCTGTGCAGGGTGCCTTTCCCACTGTGCAGGTCGCTGTAAAGCGGTGCAAGGAAGGGTCGCAGGCGCGGAGACATCGTAGTTGCCCAGACTAGGAGACCTAGGCAGGCCTCCAGGGCTTTGCGGTGCACTTTGGATGCACGGCGCAGTGCTGCGAGTTGCTCGAGCAGCTTTGCGATTTTGGTATGCACTAATTGCAGGGTGTCGTTGGCTAGATCAAACGTCCAGCCGCACCATGTAATGCGGGGCCCCAGCTGTGCTTTGCGCCAACTTATCGGGGCGTTAATTGCGGTGAGTAGGCAAATGGTTAGGCAGGCTAGCTCGGCGCTGTGTTTTGCACACAGCATTGCGAATATGTCATCGACATATAGGAAACTGCGGTGCGGTCTATGGCTGAGGAGGCGGTGCAAAGTGCGGTGGATGACCGAGCCTAGTCTTTGCCACCAAAAGCTGCTAAACCTTGCGCCAAAATGGCATACTTTATAGTAGTAGAGTTTGTGCTGGTGCCTGAAGAGCAGTGTGCCCCTTTCGTCTTCGCGCACTACGCATGCTTTGTGTGCGGCCTTGAAATCTAGCGATAGCCCGTGCCAGTAGCCGTGCGGGTCGCGGTGCGAGTATGTTAGCTGCACATCTTTTGCGGTAGGCATCTGCACGCGCTCGGGCAAGTGGCAGCGCGGATTTAGGTTGCAAATGGTGCTGTCAAGCACCATGCGTGGGTCGCGGCCCTGTGCGATGACCACGTTTAACTTGCCGATCGCTGTACCTTTTGGCCAATGCAGTTTTGCGTCGGCTTCGGTGCCGTCAAATTGTGCAATGTAACCCTCGCGCAGTTCTTTGTCAATGAGCTCTTGCAGGACAGCGGGATTCTTTTCTGCTTGCGTCCAGTTGCCTGCGCAGTGTTGCAGGTACAATGGGTCTGATTCTTGCGGATCGCTTAGTTGATTTGTGATCCATTGCTTGCTTGCGGGCAGCGGTGTGAAGGCGCCGGTAGGCACTCCTTCGAGGAGGATAGGAATGAGGTCCAGGTCCGGGTCATCGACATGCTGAGCTATGGCTTGCAGGAGAAGGAGGCGAAAGGGCTGGTCTTCCCTGATGCTAAGGCAGTTAGTATCCGTGCATCCAGGGTGCACGATTGCATGAGCTAGGCAGGCCAGGTCTAACTGTTGTTTTTCCGACAGGGGATGCGTGTCCTTTGCCTGCGACAGGTGCGTTGCCAATTGCTGCATGAGGTTGTTGTCCTGTACGTAGGACATGAAGGCTTCGCGCAGCTTTGACATGCGCTTGTCGTTGGACGGTAGGGAGTGGTCTGCTGTGCTGTTCTGTCCTGACCCGTCGCAGACTAGAATGCGGGGATGAGGCGGCATGGAGACTGGCAGCAAGGACAGAGCGCGCTGTAGTGATATGCTGTGGAGCCCGGTTGAGCTGATGCGAGGTTGCGCAATCGTCAGCAGTGCTTTTGCAAGCGTGCTGGGGTATTTTGCAGTTGTGGAGCTGGTGAATGCTCCTGAGGAGTCCCTCTTGTTGCAAACGGAGGTGTGCTCATCGCGGTGATGTTTGCAGACTGAGGCAAGGGATGCGGTTTCCCTGAGAGTGCAGCAAAACACCCATGCTTTGTGGATGTTCAAGCCGTGTGCGCAGGCTGCAACGTGCGCGCATGTGGCGTTGAGTTCGCACAGCAGTTGGACGTTGTCGTGCTCAAGCCAGGACATGGCGTCGACTGGTTGCTCGAAACCGCCATCCGCTCCTTTAGCGGTGGCAGCGCGGATGAGTGCGCGGCTGCGCGCATGGATCTCTTCGCTGGAGTCGACGCGTTGCTGCTGCTCGCAGGGCGGCGCAGACCAAATGAAGGAGACTAGGCCTGACCAGCATAGCCTTTGCAGGATTGCATAAAAGCAATCATCGAGCACGTTGTGTTTAGGATTAGCGAGTGCGTCAATAGGCTCGATGCTGTCCAGGTTGAGCTCTTTGGCTGCTGCTGTAAGCGGGCTGGTCGTGCCCGCAAAAAGGTCTAGGAATAGGCGTGGCATGGTTGTAGTGATGCTGGGTGTAGCCGCATCAGGATCTCGCGAGGATGCCTCTGAGCCTGAGGTGCTGGTGGTTGAGTAGTAGGAGTCGCTGCTTGGCGAGCGCGGGGCGGAGGGGCCCCTGGGGGGTCTATTGCAAGGGTTATTATCCCGGTTACCGGGGGTCAGTGAGGCTGTGCAATTGGGATATGCGGCGGTGGGTTGTGCAACCGGGGCAGAGGTTATGTCCGGAGGTACCTCCCCGGCGGGTAGGCTCCGGACTGCGTCAGGTGGAGGGCGGAGGCGGCGCGTCGCGGTGTTGCCAGGCTGCATGCTTCTTGCCGCACGGCTCCCCGTTGCTCTGCTTTACCCCGCAGATGTGCAGGAATTTGCAGTTGGGGTTGTTGCAGGTGCCTTTATTGAAGCGCAGGCATATCTTCTTGTCTCCTTTAGCGGTTGCCAAGTCCTGCGTGCTGTGGCCTGCGTAAGGCTGCTTGAGGGCATCGTTGCGGATACCCTTGCTGGTTTTGCCTTTGCCCTTGCCTTTGTCCTCCTTGCCCTTGCCTTTGCCTTTAGGGGTCTTAGGTGGCCTAGGTCGAGGTTGCAGCAGCGTGTGCAGGTCGCTGCGAATGTGCATAAGCTCATGCAGTGAATCGTCCAGTGACCAGCCGCGTGCGCACATTGCGGATAGTTCGCTCCAAATTTTGCGGTCTGCTTGCAGTAATTCTGTCATGTTGACAGTGCGCAGTCCCAGGTCTGCTGGGATGTTTGCAGTTGCGTAGTCAAGGACTTTGGCGTCTAGTTCTTTTAGTGCGGCAAGATGCGCGCCTCCGCAGAGTGCGATTATCTTGCTGCGAAGATTTCCGGGGCGCTCGGCGCCCACTGCAGTGCGTGAGCCTGAACCCTGCGGTGATCTCAACATTTGCATCGCCAAGACAAGCAGTAGCAAAACATGCGTGTATAAAAAAGAAAAGATCACACGCAACTACTAACTTGGGACGGAATTCATGTGATTAACATTGTTGATATTGTTGCATTTTACTCATCTGGATAATGAAAATGCGGTTCCAGAGGTGAACCCGGCCCCTGCGTTTTGGCACTTTATGTGAATACACGAAACGAAATCACTCGTTTGGATGTGTTCATAGCTGCGGACAGAGACAAGCGCATGCAGGTTTGCGTACAATGCATATCCAAGGTGATGGCCAAAGATGGCAGCTGCAAAGCATTTCTTTCAAGCAGCTATATTGCTTAAAATTGTTTGCTTAAAAAGTACCTCCTACTCGTCCAGGGACACCCCAAAACCCTATAATCCAAACTTCACCAGAGATTCTCCTGACTAGCTTGCGCTTTTGGATGTTTTTTTTGTATTTGTGAATTTGCTTGTGTATGGCCTTCACTAAGTACTTTTCTAGGATTCTTGTGCATTTTTTAGGCCTGATTGCGCAAGTGGTGTTTTTCAAACATAGTATATAAGTGGGTTTTCTGAAATACTTCAGACATCTTTGTTTCATCGTTATGTAAGTAGAACCGCTTCTATTTCCATTGTTTTGCATTTTTAAGCTTGCTTATGTAAATTGTGCCTTTCAGACATAGTATATAAGTCGTCTTTCTTGAATACTTCAGCAATCTTTGTTCATTGTTATGTAGGTAGAACCGCTTCCATTTCCGTTAGTGTTTATTTCGTATTTGGTTGAGTATGGTCCTTTAAATAGTATTCACTTGAGTCAAATTGGGCTATTTGCTTAAGAATTACTCTAGTAATTAAAGTCGCATAGAATGAATATTTCAAAAAAATTGTTTCATGAATATGTAAACATAAGGTATTTCAGTGGACTTTGCAGATATTATTTCAATAATACTCTGCCTAGTATAAACACAACTGTTTCAATGCATTAGTTGCTCAACAATCAACAAAGCCCTATTTGCCCTTTAAACCACACTTTGCCATATTTTGGTTGAATATGATGCTTATTTCGTATTTTGGTTGAGTATGGTCCTTTAAATGGTATTCACTTGAGTCAAATTGGGCTCTTTGCTTAATAAATACTCTAGTAGTTAAATTCGCATAGAATCAAGAAAATGTTTCAGTATTTGATTAATGCTTTGCCTCGTGCAAACACAACTGTATAAATAAATTATTTACTCAACAAAACATTAATTGCCCTTTAAACGCACAATTTGCATAGAAAAAACACAGATCTAGACATTTAAAAACAGCATTGTCCGCTTCAGATTCAAAATGTAGATTAATCCAACGCCGGCTTATCGGGGTCTGTGAGGTGGGTGTCCCAGTAACTGTCCTTCATTACCCGGTGATTAACTACGCGGCTTTGGGCCTTCGTTGGTATTTTTGGTGAAAAAAGCCCAAAAAACGCCTAAAAAAGGTAGGTCGCTGGGGGGGGGTAGCATGTATATGGTACCCCCCCCCAGTGACCTACCCTTTTTCGCCTTGTCTCAAGTCACCCAGCTGCACTGCAAGCAAACTCGGTGTGCAACATAGCGTGTTTCCTAGGGCGTAGACGAAAATACAACAAAAATCGCATACACGGGACAGTAGAAAAACCAAAAACACCAAAACTAAAAAAACAAAAAAACAAAACCAATAAAACTTGTTTTTTGGTTTTCTGGGTTTTTGTGGTTTTGGTTTTTTGGTTTTTTTTGTGTACAGCACCCCAACACTGAAACAGCAAATAAACCCTTCGCCCCTGGAGCGTGTCGACATGCACGTCGGACGCGACGTCGCGTACCTCATACAGAGTAAAAGTGCCAAAACGCAGGGGTGGGGTTCACCCTTGGAGCCGAAAATGCTATCTGCATTCGAGGCCACTTGTTTTTGACTTCAATGAACAAACTAGACGCTAGATCCAATACCCCCTGAAATAATTCGGTCAGTTTGCTTTGCATGCCTGGAAGTCAAATCTATTTTTCAAGCCTTGTGAAATTCATATTGTTTCAGCGGCGGGGAACAGTGGAAGATAGGACAGACAACGCCCTAAAAAACCGATGCGCCGACAAAATAGCTCGTGCAATTAGATTTTCGATTTTGCAATCAGTGTGGGCTAGTGATACTCATGGAGATACAGCAACACTGGCGTGCAGCTTCCGCAAGCGATGTCATGCTTAAAGTGAACAGAACATTATCTTGTAGGATTATACCCGTACTAGCTCATATTTAGACGTTGGTTCCCCCGAAGTCAAAAATGTAGACGTTTTAATTGGTTTGGTCAAGAGAATGGAGGTCGCGTCCAATTCGTCAATGCTCTTTAAAAGGTCGGGGATTTCTACCCTTACTTATCAATATTTAGATTTTGGTTCCCCTTACTTGAAATGCAAACAGTGAGTTGGGTTGGTCAGCATCATTGGAGGTCTCGCTGTTTGAAAACGTAAACGTTTGAGCTGGGTTGTTCAGCATAATTGGAGGTCACATTGAATTCTTACATGCTACTTAAAAAAAGGTGTTTGGAGCCCCACCCCGACATAAAGAAAACAATATGTTGGATGTTTTGTGGAACATGATCGGAGGTCAACAGTCACTGTCAAAGTCAAGGCTGCATGAACTGGGACCACCGATGCGCCAACAACAATAACCATCATAATCGCGGCTACTTGTTGTTTTGCATTTAGGGCTAGTTACATTCATGGAGTAAGTATCGTAACTAGGCTCGCTTTTCATGGTGTAACCTGGGCTGGCAACGACAAACACATTACCCTCGAGCACTGAAGCTGCCATCGGTTGAACTCTTGGAAACATAAGCCGAGCCGTGTTTCCAAGATTCGTCCGGAAGACCTTCCCACAACCTTGGATCTTGGAAACGTGAGCCGGTACAACTTGTACCGATTTGTACGCCTGTGCCGGTCCATGTATCAGAAAAACATACGGATAAGATAAGAACATACGGGTAATATGCAGAAAAACATTGGGGATGGAACTACATGAACACAAAACGAGAATGCAGGACCAGCAAACAACAAAAATAAGCAGAAGTAAACCAATAAAGCGTGGAGAACTGGGGGGATACTATATGCATGTATATATATATATATACTAACATTGTTTCTGTATGAATTGCTACATTTGCAGAGATGTTTTTGTGTATGTACAGTTTTGTTCTTTAATATGCAAAGCCGCCCTAATCCCAACACCTGCTCCCAGCTCTAAACTTCCTACAGCATACATGTGAGCAGCCCACAGGACGTGCACCCGAATAAAAGACAAACCTATCGGACCTGAGTGGCCTTGGCCCTGAATCTGATGCGGGCGTCACGCAGCGCTCAAAATTCAAGAGCTAAGGGCTGGGGAATGGCACTGGGAATGGCAAACGGAACTTTTCAGCATCCAGCCTCTTGCAGTGCTGAAAACGATGCTTGCCAAACGCCAGGTGTGTCTGCACTGGAGGCCACCTGCGTGCACTGCGTGTTGAGATAATGATCCCACAAGCCTCTCTCGTTATGTTTGCACTGGAACCAATAGACACATACTGGGCAATGGTGTTGCGAACCCTTAGCAAAGATAACACCATTTAGCATGATTTCCCAGCATGAAAACTTCAAGCTGGCCTGGTTGAATAATTGGATTCCCAAGTCTGGAACCTCACGTCCAGCAAGCAGCCCATAGCAGAGCTGTTGCGACCTCACTTTTTCAGCCCTTCGGGATATTTCAGGTAGTGTTTCTCGGCAAAGAAGTCCATAGGCCGATTGGCCGATCGGCGTGTGGCTGAGGCCCATGCAATCGCCAATGCCCGGCTTGATCTGACTCTTTGCATGAAGAGATGGCCAGGCCGACCAGGTACGACCTCATCGAACGCTTTGAAACAAGCATCCCGCGAGGCCTTGCTCTTGAGACTTAGATGCCGGCGTCTGTGTCTCCACACTGGCCTGATGTATGTGATAGTATCCGCTTTGTCGCTTCAAGCCGCAGCTGCAAAAAGGCGATATGGTTTGAAACCGGCCTCATGTCCTTGTTGTAACAACCATAAGCTGCTTGCCCACTGGCGCAGCAACCCGTGGTGGCGCAATTGGGCCGCGATCTGGGAGCGCGAACAGTTGTCGGGTCTGGTCCTGCTTTGCCATCTGGGCTTTGCATTTCAACTGGCCTATGTACCCCGACTTGCCTGAATCTGCTTGACCTACTGGCCACCAAGGGGCCATAATTCACAGCAAACAGCCCCCGTCCTCGGCGCCACAAGCGCGCCATGGGCCATGACATGGCCATTGTGGAAATGTCAAGCCTTGTAAATCACGTTACTAATGGCTATGGTCACCAGTGTGTCTACATGAAGCCTTTAAAGTCCTTAAACACGCAGGTCTGCTCTTTTCCGGCAGGGTCTTGAGAACCGCGAAGAAGCTCCGAGTGGGCGCTGCAACTGAGCAAATGGTCGCCGAGTCCGACCGCATTCAGTTTAGTGCGTTTCGTTCATGCGCGTTTTTGGTTTGAGTATGCTACCGTAGTGTAGCTCATGATAGCATATAATGTTCACTTCCCAAAAGAAAACACCTCCCTTGATTGATTGAATCTCTCCTCCTCCCTCATGAAACTCTATGCTCTCCACTACTGCCGTCCACACGCTATTCTGGAACATACAGAGCGGAACACCCAATAACAACTTTGCAGCCGGTAGAAGTCGCTAGTCAATTCGGTATTATTTCCTCTGCATGTGCACGATGAACAAGCCAAGCCAAGCAAAAACAGCCAAATGTTGGTTCCATGTCTGACCCCCTCCGGCACGTACCATGGAAAGCGATTGCCTAAAGTCCTACAACGCTCAGTGAAAACAACCAACGGGTCCACCAACATGTCCCATGGCTTAAACCTTGTGCCCCCAACATCAACTATGGGGCCATCGAACAATTTGAGGACCAGTTCTTCGTGTCCCAAAGCAGCCATAGCCCAGATAGGCCAAGCGCTTTCATTGACGCATGGAGGTTGGATTCAAGCACTGGCCCAGCGAGTGTTTTTTTCACACGATGTTTTTCGGCAGTGCCGTGCAAGGGGATTATTGCTCGAGGCGTTCTTTTGACAAGCGAATTCCATGAGTGAGTTTTCAGCAGTGAAGTCAGCGACCCTCCACTTTCAGGATGTGTCACCGTTGTCACCTCTGCAGCTGAAAACCTCAAAAACGCTGTAAATCCCTTTTTCCAGACTGTCCAGGGTCTGGGCGCGTGGGCTGTAGGACAAGATGACATTTAGCAGTTCGTAGGAGGAATACGAGTGTCTGTGCCATCGAAGAGGACAGGCTTCTATGATCCATTCGGGAATGTGACATGGACTGGAGCATACCCCGCGGGTTGGGGTTGAGGGTTAGAGTTCAACTCAAGTTACAACCTCTGGTCGGACACCAGGCGGGGCGGGGGGGGGGGGGGGGGGACCAACCCTAACCCAGGTTAAGGTTAGGGTTAACCCGGACCCTAACGCGGTCTTAGGGTTCGAATTCGACCCGAACCTCAACCTGAGTTAGGGTTCAAGTTAACAGAAAGCCCAACTCCACGTAGCAGGTTAGGATAGTCTGAACCCCAACTCGCGTCAGGGTTGGGCTAACCCAAACCGTAAGCTGGGTCAGGGTTGGGGTTAGGGCTGGGTTAACCCTAACCCCAACCCTACCTGGGGTTAGGGTTGGGGTTAACCCTAACCCTAACCCCAATTTTTTTCCCTTCCCTTACCCTCACTCCTTTCTTCAGCTTTTCCATTCTATACGGGGAGAGTGGCAACAACGCGCCCCCCTCCAATCCCCCCCGCCATGACAGGGGTGGAGTTTAAACTCATTCTCCTGAACGCAAGAAACAAAAAAACAAAAACGAGGGGGATGGAATTTAGATCAATTCTCTACTTCTCCAATGATTTTCGAAAAATGAGCATAAGAAACAAAAACAAGAAACGAGGGGGGTGGAATTTAGATGAATTCTCTACTATGAATTTCGGAGAACTTTCTCTACTTATTCTCTGCTTTTCGAACATAAATACAAGAAACAAAAACAAAAATGAGGATGTTGCAGAGGAAACAACAAACCAAGAAACGAGGGGGGGTAGAATTTAGAGTAATTCTCCACTCCTCTGATTTTCGAAGAATGAACACAAGAAACAAAAAACGAGAAACGAGGTGATACTTACTCTCTACTGCTCTGATTCTCGAAGAATGAGCACAAAGAAAAACAAGAAACGAAAGGGGTGGAATCTCCACATATTTATCCTTTCGAATGTGTATATATATATATACAAAAACAAAAACAAAAAACAAGAAGGGTGGAATATAGACTAAGTCTGTACTCATCTACTGCCTTTTTCCTGAAAAATGACAATAATCACTTTCGAAAACGAGAAACGAGGGGAAGGGGTTCAATCAGGTTACAACCTTTGGTCCAACTCCAGGCGGGAGGGGGGGGGGAGGGGGCAACCCCAACCCAGGTTTAAGGTTAGGGTTAACAGAATGGTCCCTGTGTCTGACACACATGGGTCCTCGAAAGGTTGCCTGCGGGGATGAAAAGGAGAACGACAAGAACTACCCACTCCACTCTGCGGCAAGACGAGCAAAGGCTCTGCGCACCATCCAGCCACCGTAGAACCATTGTGCAACGGACGCTACTTTTCTGTACTATTGTTCATCATATCGCAAGCAAGATCCGAAAAAGAAAAAGAAGGCATGCATGAAAGATGTGTATTAGCTTGAATGAATTTGAAGTGGTTAAAGACTTGCTTTTCATTCTTGTCTCAAAATATTATACAAGCTTGCATTATGTCACCCAAATATCACAAATTTTTATTTCTCAGCATCTCTAGCAACTTTTTGTATCTTAGTATGTGGACTTGCTCTTTCACCAGAACCCAAATTAGTTGGACATGAACTCACAAAACCTAATTTTTTATCAACTGCAAATTCTGATTTATCACCAATTACTCGATCTTTAATGCTGAGATGCTATAATAGTTTTTGTATTGTTCACAAACATCAATATTTTTGCTCAAAAATGCTCAAAAAACAGTTGGTCATAATAATGGTTTCCAATTTAATGCGTTTTTTGCTTCCATGGCGCGGGGGGCTCTCGACGGTTGCTTGAGAAAACAAGAGACCACAAAAGATAAACATGGTCAGCAGCGGAAAACCGAAGCGTGCAGATTCAGAACTAAACTGGCTTCGTGCGGATTTGAGAACAGGATTCGGGAGGTCCGCTGAACACCAACAAATCAATGTTTGGTGAAGTTGCATCCAAAGTCCAAGCCAACGAAACTGATCACAAACGTTTCGAAAGGCTCCAAGCCAACGAACCAATCTTACAAAAGTTGCATTCGCACTCCAAGCCATCAAACGAATCTTTCATGAAAGTTGTGTTCAAAAGGCACTGCCATCAGCCCTCCGTATGACAACTGTACAGTTAGTGAAAGCAGCACGGTGCGACCAAATGCAAACAAGAACCTACCGGCACCAATCACTCGCACTGCTCGTCATCCATGGCAATGCTGCGCCACGTCTGTACAGACATTGTAAGCATGGTTTGGCCGCAAGGCAAGGAACCTCCGTCACCTTTAAGGCTCCACCTCATGTCATAGAGTGGAAGCGTTGCTTGCAAACGCACGAAGGCTGCTCGGAGGCATTGGATCATGTGCTGGGGGCTGCATCCCGCGAAGGGGGCTTCGAAGCCTTCGAAGCCTTCGAAGCCTTCGAAGCCGAAGGGTCGAAGGGGGGGGGGCTGAAGGCTTCGAAGGTTTGGAAGGTGAGGACGAAGGTTTCGAAGGCTTCGAAGGGTGAGGACGAAGGCTTCGAAGGCTTCGAAGGGTGAGGACGAAGGGGCTTCGCAGGCTTCGAAGGTGAGGACGAAGGGGGCTTCGAAGGCTTTGAAGTCTTCGAAGGTGAGGACGAAGGGCTTCGAAGGCTTCAAAGGCGAGGACGAAGGGGGGGGGGGCTTCGAAGGCTTCGAAGGGTGAGGACGAAGGGGGCTTCGAAGGCTTCGAAGGCGAGGACGAAGGCTTCGAAGGTGAGGACGAAGGGGGCTTGGAAGGCTTCGAAGGCGAGGACGAAGGGGGCTACTCCTCTGATCTTCGAATAATGAAACAAAAAAACAAAAGAAGATTCGAGGGGGGTAGAATTTAGAATAAATCCCCTTCTCCCTTCTCCTCTGAGTTTTCGAAGAATGAAATACGAAAAACAAAAGAAGATTCGAGAGGGGGAATTTAGAATAGATTCCCTTCTCTCTCCGCCTCTGATTTCTCGAATAATGAAATACAAAAAAACAAAACAAGATTCAAGGGGGGTGGAATTTAGAATACATTCCCTTCTCTCTTCTCCCTTCCTCCCACTCCGCATTCTCGCTTCTCCCTTCCTCCCACTCCCTCGTCTGTGATTTAAGATAAAGTCTACTTCTATAAACAAAAACCGTCTCGTCACTCCTCTGATTTTTCGAACCAGGAAATACAAAAAACAAAAGAAGATTTGAGGGGGAATTTAGAATAAATTCCCTTCTCTCTTCTCCTCTAATTTTTCGAAAAATGAAATACAAAAATCAAAAAGATTTGAGGGGGGTGGAAGTCGGACCTGTTCTGCACCCTGCATGTAACACTGCAGCAGCCGCTCGAACAATCTGAAAATTTGCCCACTGTGTTGAAGCTTGGTTTTAAAGAGCATCCGGCTCGACAGCCGCAATACAGCAGAGCTTCGTTGGGGAAGTGTTTGCATGCACCAAAGCTGCTTCGAACAAAATCCCAAATTGGAACATAAAAATTCGCGCCACTTGCTACCATCTGCGTTGTGCTGGCCAGAGAGCGCTGGCATCCTTCTTGTCAATGTTGCACAGCAACTGTACAATATTAACAACCAATCCACAGTTGTGAAAAAAGGATTCTTGCAAGCGGCTGGGAAGGATGTCGAGTGCGAGCTGCGCAAATCGACACGGAGCTAGATTATCTGCAAACCTGAAGAGTTCAGCCTTGACGCTTTCCAAATCCGAAGCGTCACATCCGTGTTACTTGCAGCCTTTAAGGCTTCGACGAAATGTTCTAAAGCCGAAACGAGAAAAGTTGTTGGGCTATTGGTGGGACGGAATCCCAAGGGATCAAGGAACTTGCAAAGTGGCTTCACCCATTCCATGTTAAAATCCTGAAGGTAGCTGGTCGTCTTTAACGCTTCCTATCTTGACAGTGCTCCAACAAACACGCTCTCAGTGGATCTGGCTCAACTGCATTTAGAATACATTCCCTTCTCTCTTCTCCTTTCCT